AAATATAAAAAATTTACTTACAGGCGGAGAGTCAGAAGCGCCAGACTGTCCTTGCAAAGTTGGAACTGCCCCACTTTATAGAAACAGCCTTTGAGCACAGACCCATTGTAGGCTATGCAGAACTGCAGGTTCAGGAAACAGTCCTCCTTAAAATGCGTCACACTGCGTCACACACGGCGGCCTAGAGTGAGCGGAGGCGGAGCTACAGTGAGGAATGGCTGGCCACTTTGTCCACGGTGAAAGCCGATCCGGCGATTGACAGCGCGAAGCTGATGTATTTCGGGCGGTGTTATGCAAATCTTCCCAGATCGTGACGTAGGTATGTGGGGGCGTGTTAGAACGAGCCGTTTTAGGTTCTCTCTTAACTTTTATAAAGAATAGCTCTTTGGATTTGAGACTTTAGTCTTTGCAACTTTACAGATCTTCTTTATGCACCAAGAGCTTGTAACACTCCAAAGAGAAAGGAAAAATAGAAATCGCATCATATGACCCCTTTAACATGGTGGGTCTATGGGATTGACTCGCTTTCGGAGACAGCCTCTAGCGACCAGTCGATGAATTGCAGTCACTTCCGTTTTGGATTCACGAGAGAGACCAGGAGGTTGCCGCTTGGTCACTATTCTGTGTCATTTTTCATTCACAATCATTTCACTGCATGTAATGCCAAAATATGAATATTCAAAGCAGTCGCACTGTCAACGCGTTACTGTTTAAAATGAATTAAATTAATTCTTTAAGGCAGTTACCACACATTCATTCAGCCACTGGAATAAGAGCGCAACTTTATTAGCCATGGGTTTACTACAAATAATTGTAGTTAAACCATAGTAAATTAACCCGGGTTTTACTACACTAACCATAGTTTAACCATGGTATTTGAAGTAAAATTAAGGTTATACAAATGGTACACTTTTACTAATTTTCGTAAGGGTGTTTATCAGTCAGATTAATTTAAAACTGTAAATTCAACAGGTATATGATCATCAGTATGAGAAAAATACTGTTAATGAGAAGACTAGCGCTGGACTGCGGCAGTGGGGAAATATGTTTATTTATTATTCAGAACGCACGTTTGGAAGGGAAATATATTTATAGGAACATTTCAGCAGGCTGAAGATAATTCATGTTAACGCAGAGAATGTGATTAATTGTTTACAAAAAACTGCCATCCCTAAAACGTAGCAATAATCTGCTTTCTCCTGAGAAACTGTAGGCCTAAGTGTGCTGAGTAGAACACGGAAGTTGTTGTGCAAGTAGTCCGTTCTTTAAAATATACGAGACAGGAAAGATTAATGGAATATACTGTAAATGCTTTTGATGATTAAATGATCATTACGTGATCATTTCACTGCATTAACACTAATTTGGAGAGTAGTCTGCCAATGCATCATGAACACACGCGGCAGCAGCTCACGATCATGTCTGTAGATGGCAGTAAAGCAGCGTCGTTTCTCTCTGTTGAGGCACGGTTTAACATCAGCCCACCTAAATGTGTGGTCCTGACAATAGAAATGCTGTCTGCATGGGCACTGCTGGTCATTTTGAGATAAAGAGACGTAGGTTTATCGCTTATTTGAAGAAGCCTCATTTTGATTAGCTACCCAACAGCAGAGCATTTTAATTAGCGTGTCAGCATATTTAAATCTGTATATCAATAATTAACTCAGCCCACGCACCGTGCTAATGCAGTAGGCCTGATACTATCCTCAGTCAAATGGCACAGGCTGATATTTGTAGTGGCAGATTTGATCACAAATAGGTTAATTTGGGATTTGTGGTGGATCGTGAATGCAGAAGAGTGTGGAAGCTGTCTTTTTTAAATCGAGGCCAATGCGGATGAGGTTAAGCATAGCAAGCACAGTACCAACATTCCCCTTTCTTGTTCTGATAAGCTCTCAGGTCCATTGATGCTGTGCGATAATCTTAACTCTGATCTCGTTTATCCTGCATTACTCATTGACACTACAGTACTGTACAGTTTAGTGTAGATTTTTCTATTCATAATTATATTAAAATACAATTTAACTGCAATATAGAAAAATGGTGTATGCATTTGGGCACACAGCAACAATAATACCAGTACAAGAAAGTCACGAATGCACGTTTTTGGCTCAGGGTTATTGGGGGCGTGTCCCTCTGACGTCACCAGGTCTGGATGTATAAGGAGTGAGTGGCACTATGGCTCCTCCAGTGGAGACACAGAGCATTTATCTGAGTCATGCAATGATTTATCAAGCCACACTCTCAAATCAAGCCATTCATTTTTCTGGAGGCAATTTTAAAAGAGGAGGTAAGATCCAACATGAATTAATCTTGCATACATTTTTATCTCTGTGCTGCTTAAAACTAATCATTTATTTAACATTTAGTCAGAAAACCTTTTTTGTTCTATTAATATGAATTTAAAGTGCTGAGATGTTTGATCACTGTGTTTAATATATTTTTTTGTCATCTTACATATCCTTATCTGAATTGATGTAAAACTATACTAATTATTAATTACAGGCCTGTATTTAAAATCCACTTATTATGAAGTTATATTACTCTTGATGTTTAAATCATTTTAAAATATTTGATGGCACAAAGAAGACGCCCTCTATAGGACAGGTGATCCACACAATCCTCAACACAATATTGCTCTCTTTTGTCTTGCATTGTCATTATTATCATTATTATTATTGTGTAATCAACTGTACATTCCAATAATAAAAGAGCAGAAACAGTGAACAAGTTTTGTAAAGTGAGAGAGCAGAGAGAGCAATGCATTCTTATGGCGAGACCAAACCTGTACTTACGAAGAGTGCAGTGTAAATCTGTAATTTAACATAGCTCGACCTATTTTAGTTCCTTTTGTTGTATATTCGGAGTAAAAAATGTCTAAAACCTCTTCTGACTGAAGCCTATATATTCCAGCATTTATTTTGCATTCTTGTCACTGTGCAACTAGCTGTAACACAGAGCAGAAACGCTATTATTCATATATGCATACTGCTGAAATATGCTTCTCGTTTAGAATAATCTGCATTGTCAACACCGTTTGTTCTATCAAAAATGGACTTTATAAGCTTCAGTGAACGCTGGTGCATTGCTATTTATAAAGGGAGAAGGTATGTAATGTAAGTCTACATGTTAGTGATGTACTTGTGTGACTTCCCTCCTATATTTTGTTTTTGCTCCTGGCTTAAATGGCCTGCTTTAAGGGGCTTCTAACAGTCTTTTGAAATGGCTGTGGGAGAATATCTACCCGGATGTTGTCCTTAGATGCCAGCCAGGGATGCACGCAAGCATCTGAGTTCATACGTTTGCGGTAATCCCTGGGGTCAGTGAGTTTGTGGTCAAGCGGTTTGTTTATTGCTTACTAAAAATTGCACCGGCCATGCTCAGTAGAGTAGAACATTCCTTCTTAGCTGGATCAGGACCGGCTCAGTCACACAGAACATAAATATGCAAAGAGCCAAAAACTGTGTGCCTGACAGCTTTTATCCTGATGCATCAGTGCTCTTTATTGATCAGGAGCTGCCTGATGGCCATGTAGCACACACTTTCACACTGTAGATCCATCTGATCATATTTCAACAGAGTACAGCCCGGAGGATTTAATTGCTCATTCAAAACCCAAACGTTCTCAGTTTGGTTTTACTGAAGTATTAGCTTAATCTCAAATGCTTCCCTTAATATAGAATATAATTTTTAATAATATAAAACAGGAATAGACATTAAAAATTAACATAGGTAGCATATTGGACAATGGTAGTTCACTCAAAAATTACAGTTCTGTCATTATTTATTCCCCCTCATGTCATGCCAAAACTAGTATTACTTCTGCATAACACAAAAGAAAATATTTTGGTTACGAAAATTTTGGTTAACATTGATTTCCATTTGTATGAAAAACAAAACAAAACACTGAGGCATTTCAAGTAGGATTGAAATCAAACTTTGCTTATCAATACATACATAAAACACGTGCATATACACCTATAAATTACTCACATATACATGTATACTATTGGATGTTCAAAAATATATACACGTGCACACTAATATGAAATCCATACCAATACATGTTAGTAATGAATGCATACACTTGTGAATATCTTGCGTATACATGCATACACCTATAGACACTCGCTTATACGTATAAACTCGATCCATGCATATAAACATACAACAACACACACACATACATATAAACTCACTGCATGCAGACACACCTATACATACTCGCCTATACATATAAACTTGATCCATGCATATACACCTATAAACACTCGCACATAAATATAAACTCGATGCACACATACACATCCATAAAACACTCGTTCATACAAACAAAATAAAATTCACAAACGTATTCAATTCTGATAGATGCATGCTTTAGTTGTGTATAAGTGATTTCATATGTGGATGTGCGTGAAATTTTCAGTGCAAACGGAAGGCATCTCAGTGTAAAAGGAAGCCATTTGGCCGTAAACAGAAGCCTGTCTATTTGCTGCATTTGCAATGATGGACAGGGATCGTGCTACAACTGAAGCAATTAGCATTTTGCAAGTTTGATTTAAATCCTACGTGGCGCCTCATAAGAAAATCTGTCACATTTGAGATTACAGTATATACGTATACATCAGAGGTGTAAAGAAAAACTGAAAACCATGCTTGAGTAAAAGTACAGATACCTTACAGCGAAAATGACTCCATTGCAAATCACCAATTACAAAACGACTTGAGTAAAAGTCTTAGAGTATCTGATTTTAACAGTACTTAAGTATTTTACTGAATGTAGGCTCAAAGATGCATATGCAAACACACACACGCGCGCACACACACACAAAAACACACACACACACACATACATATAATTTTTTAAAATTATTTATTCATTTATTTATTTGTGTTTGCAAAAGTCTCCATTTAAATTAGTAAAGCGATCTCATTTAAGGATTTTCTTTCTTATAGGTTACTGATAAAATAATAAAATAAAATGCCGTGTTTTAAGATGTGCATCAAGGTATAAATAGAGCGAAAAACCCAAATAGGTTTGGGACTGGACTGTTAAGAAAGTCCTAGCATACGCCCCTGTCAAAGAGATGTTGCATCTCTCTTATTGAAGCAATCTTGTAGAAATGTCCTCTTCCACACTGAACAACATGAAAGGCTGTGTACTACCGCAGCACATCTGGTGGAGGAAAACACCAGGCCTTCCCAATCTGTGGCACAATCACAAGGTCCTGACTGATGAAGAGGCTCATCAGAGGACTCAGGAGAGCCTGATCCAAACTACACGCAAACACGCTCTTTATCCAATCAGTTAACCAGTGCTGATGCACTCTTTAGCCCACTGATGTTGTTTGCGGGAAGTTAGAGTTCAGACTAATTCAAATGTGAATCTGCTAGCTGTTTTTTTGAGTTTTGGAATGGTTGGACTGAACATTAGTACCCCAAAAACACGTTTAATAGTCAGACCCCAGGAACATGGGAACTCGTTGAAAGTGATTGAAGCAATTTACAAGGGATTTGAGATTCTTGACTACTGAGTGTCAGTTTAACGCAGTACATCAACTCCCACTGAAACCTCGACTTCTGCTGGTTTCTTCTCTACTTAATCTTCAATCCAGTAACATCTTAGCATTAGCCTTCCTCACATACTCATGAAGTGTCTTTGAATGTCTCGTGTTTTGCTTGTCATCATGGTTATTGCAGTCAAAGCCACAGTCAAACAAAATGTTCCCATGGCCTGACAAATGTGCTCAAGGCTATAGTGTCAATGTCTCTAACATTTCATTGTGGTTTTATGGGACAGCGCTTTACTATAGGGAGCGATTCCTTGTGTTGTGTTTGCCGTGGACAATGCCTTTGCCTTGGCCTTTCAGAATAACCCTTGTAAAGCAGACGAACACTTTGTGCAATGTGTGTTTTGAAAGACTGGCTGTTTGACATGCAATTAAATCTAATCGCAACACGTTCTGCCATGTTGTACTCTTTACACTATGGTACTTTTTGCACAGAATTATTACAGCTAAGTTTTCTGTAAGTATAGGTTTGCGTGTAATGTCGGGCATTGTCTCGTAATCCAGTACATGGCCACATGCCATGTTTATTTCCATGTTGTGTTCACCAGCTTTTTTTGCTTACGCTGTTATTTTCCTTCGCTGCAGCCTGTGGTCTGTTGGGCAGCGCTTTATGCTAAATCAGAGCTTGTAGACATCACTGAAGCAAAGCGAGAAAATAAGACCACATGTCGATGGGTACCAAGCAAAACGTCCCTCTTACCAATGAGACTTTTATATGGTTGAATAAAAGGGAATTGTCGTAGTCTGTAAAGTTATAGAGGGCCTGTTGCTTGGCCAATGAAACCCTAGCAAAATAGACTGACACATGTTGTTTTATTTATATAAATTTATGCATATTATTTAGGGTGTGTCTGGCTGACGAATAAACTTGCAGGAGTTTATAGAGGAATGTAAAATTCCGGGTAGAGTTTTAGGTTAAATTTGAACGTTTTTGCAGAAAATATGAGTCGTGCTTGAGCTGTAACTTTAGAGGAACAACATCTTTTCACTTGGACACTTATTTACCCCTTAACGATTCATAGTATTACTCTAGGTACTCATATGCACATTTTAGGGGTAGATAAGGTACAAACTTGTCCTTTAAAAGGTACTGCCCCAGTGACAAGCTGTTAAAGGTACAATTTTTGCACGTTTTTGTCTGGTAGAGCGGTGACCAGCAAGACGCTAGCATTGCTAGATGATTGCATAGGTCTGGTTACTTGCTGGTTTCTTACACTCTCAGAAAAAAAGGTACAAAAGCTGTCACTGGGGTGGTACCTTTTCAAAAGGCACACCTTTGTACCTAAGGAGACCATATTGGTACCTTAAAGGTACAAATTAGTACCTAAAGTGTACATGTTAGTAACTAAAAGGTACAAAAGTTTACAAAAGGTACAAAAGTCAGTGACAGCTTTTGTACCTTTTTTTTCTGAGAGTGTACTGTATAGAGTCAAAAGAGCTCATATTCAAGTCTATATGATGCTAGAATAATGATAAACCACTAATTATTTGATGATGATTATTTTCAAGCTGCTGCTTCTTTTTTGGCATCATAATGTCAACAGAAATATTTGAAATGTATTAGGTTGGTTTTTAAAAACATGCGATAGAATACGATAGGCCTTTCCATTATTCTGTAGTAAATGCTTAATCTCAGAAGTGATTACTTGATTGTTTCTGAGAACGCATCTTAACACCCCTGTGAACAACTGTGCACTGATCTGATTAGCTTAAGTAAGTGTGTAACATCAGAGGTATAATCAAATGAAACAGCCATCTTTAAGTAATTATGTAAGCAAACTGGTTCTTAACTGTTTAGAATAATTATAGATTGCAATGTTTGTTCTAGCCCAGTTCTTGTTCCCATTCTGTAGGCTGCAGCACTGCTGTGAATGACCTGGTCTACATCATGGACGGCTCCTGGAGTGTGGGAAGTGACGACTTTGAAACAGCCAAGCGCTGGCTAATCAGTGTCACCAGTGGCTTCGACGTGAGCTCGCACTACTCGCAGGTGGGCGTAGTACAATACAGTGACACCCCAAGGTTGGAGATCCCTCTCGGTCTCCACAAGACCACTCAAGATCTCATTAAAGCCATTGAGGACATCAGCTATTTAGGTGGCAACACGCAGACGGGCCGTGCCATCAAGTTTGCCGTGGACCACGTCTTTGCATCTTCGCAACGAAGTGAAGTGAAGAACCGCATTGCTGTGGTGGTGACTGATGGAAAGTCGCAGGACGATGTTATGGACGCTAGCGTGGAGTCACGAGCACAAGGTATTAAAGTGTTTGCGGTTGGCGTCGGGGCGGAGATCACCACATCAGAGCTGGTGACCATCGCCAACAAGCCGGAGGGTGAATACGTGCTGTATGCGGAGGACTACACCAATATCGACCGTATCCGTGATGCTATGGAACAGAAGCTGTGTGAGGGTAAGATTTGCATGCGTGTGAGACTTCCCATAAACATTTACCACATTAAAACTAGGTTTTGGCATTACCAGTCCACTCCTGGGCGTGCAGTTCTATCAGCATCTTAAAAGAAGAGTGAACCACCAAAGCACCACAGTCCATTCATGCCCAGTGACAGGGAAAGCCACAAAGCTCGTAGGCCAAACCAGCGGCATGATGCCATGGCAGGGAGTGGTAACAGCAACCAGATGTGGCTTTGCCCACTGCTAACCACAAAGCAGCTGGCAGCTCTGGTTTGGACAGAGAGTTGTCACTAGTAGCAGGCGTGTAGTTTCTCCAACCGAAAGTAATTACAAACCTACAACGTTTGGCACAAAATGGGTCAGTGCAAGGTACTCATGTAGGGAGATATTTACACTTTTTTTTCAAACCTTTCCACATTTTCAAAACTGTGCCCACTTCTAAATATCTGTTTAGTCCCAGTATATCAAGTTACAATTTAATTGCGGTGCTTCTCCTTAAGTGATAAATAGCAGTTGCAAATGTATTATGAATTACACAATGTGCAACACTTTAAGTTTGGTTGCACTTTATTTTGATGGTCCCCTTTAGACATTCTGTTGACTAAAGTAACACTGCAACTACATGTCAGAGTATTCGAGTATTAGTAGACTAGGGTTAGGATTAGTAAAATAGGTTGACATGCACTTGCAAAGTTGGTCAACAGAATGTCTTAAATGTTACTACCAAATTACATCTGTAATATCTAATTAATTGAACATACAATGTAAATTTTTTCCTCGATGTTGCACGATTTCAGGGCACATGTGCTCCTGGATACGCTTAGCCTCAAATACCACTCTGATCTTAGAGATGTGCATTTAGTGTGCGTTAAGGGCACTGAGCTTGCAACTTCCTGTCCAGTGCACACACTCTCAAGTGGTCAAATTGGGACAAGCCCCTTGTTTAGCCAATCCAAACAAAAAGTGCCCCAAAATACAAATACAAGATGCTCTTTTTGCAATTTGTATCAATTTTATGTTTTCGCGAATAAATAAGGCTGAATAAATAAGCTTTCCATTGATGTATGGTTTGTTAGGATAGGACAATATTTGGCTGAGATACAACTATTTGAAAATCTGGAATCTGAGGGTGCAAAAAAATCTAAATATTGAGAAAATCATCTTTAAAGTTGTCCAAATGAAGATATTGGGCATGAAGATCCATCAGAAGGCTAAGAAGATACAGGGCTCATTAGTGTCAGAGGCAGCGTATCTGCTGGACAAGAGCACCGACATTACTGAAAACACCAGGTTGGTTTTAACCTAATCATAAATATTTAACATGTGCTTAATAATGCAATTATTGTTGATTCTGCAACTTTTTAATCACTTTTTAGAGCTCCCAAAAAGGTATTATTTTATGAATTGATGTTTTGTATTCTGAAAATCTATTATATATTTATTCATCTGACTAATGCATGTTTTACATTTGTTTTAAAGGGAGATTTTTCCCGAAGGTCTTCCTCCCTCCTATGTGTTCGTGTCGACTTTGAGGCTGAAAGGGCCTTCAAGCAGGGAAAAGCTGGACCTGTGGAGGGTCCTGTCTAAAGACGGACAGATTCAGGCGGCTGTCACACTCAACGGACTGGACAAATCTGTCATCTTCACTTCCACAAACACGGTTAATGAGGGACAGATAGTTACTTTTGATGCACAAGGCACTGAGGCGAGTGAAATCTACCAGCAACATATAGAACATTCTCCTTTTATATGCAAATTTTTTATGCTATTTTTGCGTAACTTCACAAGAGAAGCATTTGTCATTAATCATCCTTACACTAATGTAAGTAACACTCCAAAGAGAAAGGAAAACTTGAAATCGCATCATATGACCCCTTTAACATGGAAGTCGGTTTCTGCCGTGGGATAACAAGAATAAAAAAGGTAATTGCAACATTTTATTTTACAATTCAGACTTTTTTAGAGTAAAAAAAAAGAAAAAAAAGTGTTAGATATAAATGTAGGATTTTGAGATATAAAAATAATTATGAGAAGAAAAGTTGTAATTGTGAGATATAAATTAACAATTGTGAGATAAAGAGTCACAGTTAGCATTTAATTAATAATAAAAAAAAATTTAAATCCTTCGGTGGAAACAAGCCTCCATATGCTTTGAGTTTTCTTACTTCAGCATTAAATTACAGAAAACTAGTTAACGCTGCTGCATGAATGTTTCTAATACTGAGGGAGTGACGGCAGATTTGACATCGCTTCTGACCCCCGTAATAAATCTCGCCATAATTTTTCCTCTATTGGAAAATCATAGAAACACTATTGAGGATTTTTCTTTCATATTGGAGCAAATGGGAACACGAACATAATATTTATTGTAGCTTATGTTGGCCATTATAGAAGTTTAACCAACTATGACGAATTCTGCTTCTGAGAAACCCAGAAACAGGTCCATTATTATCAATAACTTGTTTAGTATATTAGATTTACTGCCATTGCTTATTTAATTGCATCACACACACACACACACACTTTCTCTCTTTCATATACACACTCAACTGTTATTATCCCCAATCCACACTGTCCTTTCATTCGAATGAGGGTCATTTGCTGTATGATTTACAGCTACAAAAAGGCCACTCAGTCAAAAAGACTAAATAAGAGAAGAGTGAAATATGACACATATGAAGAGTGCAGGAACAGAAAGAGTGAGAAGAGTGAAGTGGGAAGCTTATTTTCCTGTTAAAGTGTCTTTTCTGAGGGTTGAATTCTTCAGTAGTGAACAGCAGCATGTCGCTGTATGTGATGCTGTAGCTTTTCCTTTTCTTAGTTTGAAGAGCTTTATAAGTGTGAAGTCATTATCAATCCAGATAGGCATGAAGGACATGTGCTGTATTTTCAAATTACACGTGTTACTAACCTAACATACGAATATTTACTTCATTGCATGACACCAAAGACCTTTGAAAGATCTGAAATGAAGCCAAATTCATATTGCAATCCTGCTTTTGAACATCTAAATAGCAAATATGGCCTTGAGCTTTGGATTCAGATGTTGAATATCCCTGTCTTACAAGATGAGATAAAGAGGAGGGGGAGGTGAAGGTGACAGTGGGGGCTACGTCTCGTCGAAAAGATAAAGGAAATGTTTAATCTCCCCTCCTCTATAGCCCCACGCTCGCTTCACCCACCCTTGACCCCAAAGTCATCTCTCTTTCTGTCCATTCAGAATGCCACGAAAGCACCTGGCATGAAGCTGCTTGTGTGATAAATCCATCTCTCTGTCAACTCTATGTTGTGGTCTGCTGAACCACATCAGTTTGACCAGTCATTCTTCTACACCTACATAAATCATAACCTTAATCTGCTTTGCACAAACTAGGCACATCACACTCTAAAAAATGCTGGGTTGTTTCAACCCAACTTTGGGTCAAATATGGACTAACCCAACCATTGGGTTAAATTGTTTAATTAAATGTTTAAC